ATGATGGCTCCGCCGAACGGCTCCGGGACTGAAACCGCACAGTTAGTGTGTATAAGAGGCGCTGTGAGGACGTCTGACGGCGGCATTAGTCTGATTAACTCGGTCAGGTGGTTTAGAGATTACAGGAAACTCTGCCTACACTTCCCTCTTCCCCAACTCTACTGAGAGCTACTGCAGAGTCACACGGTACTCATGAGGAGGACGCAGAGCGCGGCTTTAGAGCCCACAGCGCCACCTGCTGGCCAGAACTGAGCTCAGAGCTCCTCAAGAGTGAACATGCTGCAGTCTGCATGTCTCTGAGCGGACTCTACAGTTCACTGCTCTGACACATGACGTGTTCATTACTGTTGATTGTGAAGGAGAACAGCAGCTTCTCCTGAGCAGGTGAGTCATAAGCTCACGTTACCATGGCAATAAGCCCCACCCTAAAGTGTGCTCACCTGGAATGACCATCGATGCCTCGGCCTCCACGTTCTCCTGCTTCCAGGGCCCTTTATTGAACTCCTTCTCCCGCAGGGAAACCTCGTATGTCTTCACGTGTCGGCCCTGCGGGTCCTGGACAGCAGACAACAGCACATGACCTCTGACCTGCACATGACCTCTGCCCCCCGCTGCAGATATATACACACATACCTGGTATATGAAGCAGACGGTGGGGGCCTGGCAGCCGTACAGGAACTGGACATCGATGACCTGCAGCTCCTCCAGCCGGATGTTGAAGGCCTTGAGCTCCCTGTTCTCTCGGTCCAGCGGGATCACCTTGAACAGCCCGTCGTACAGCCGCAGCCCGATCATGCGGCACTCTGGGTCCACGATGCCGATGATCCCGGTCTCCGACGGCCGGCCAATGCGGTCCTGTGGGAGAGCGAATCGTCAGTCTGAGACGGAGACAGAACACACACACACACACAAACACACACACACACACACACACACACACACACACACACACACACACACACAGCTGTACCTGCACGTTGCCGTGGGCTCGGGTGATGATGTCGATGCTGTCTCCGCTCTGCTTGTACTCCAGGATGCAGGCGTTGTATTTGGCCGTCAGAATGAACAGAAGGTCTTTGCTCTCTCCCTACACACACACACACACACACACACACACACACACACACAAACAGGTGTGTCACAGACAGTCTAATCTGACGTTCAGAGCTGTGTCTCCGCTATGATCCGATCTTCGCTCCGGTGTGTGTGTGTGTGAGTGTGTGTGTGTCACCTTGGGCCTGAACAGCTCCATCACCGCGATCTTGCCGTACATGCCGACCTCTTTGACCGGCCGCAGCCCCTCCGCCGTCACCGCGTAGATCTCCAGCCGCGTGTTCTTGGCGATGAGCAGGTTCAGGTCCTCGGCGGAGGTGAAGTGGCCTGAGCACACACATAGAGCTCATCACTGTCATCATCAATATTAATATTACAGTGATTGATCAGTTCCTCATCTCTGTCTCTTATACACACACACACACACACACACACACACACACTGTGACGCAGGAGACTGAAGTTTCTCCGTGTTTACTGAGGCAGCGGGGACGTTATATTAACACAACACACGGGCTGTGCTGACAGCTGATAAACAACTGAACAATCAACTAACCAGTACATTACCTGCTTATACCCACCGACCCAACTAACTAGCTAACGTTAGTCGTAGAGCGCGCATTAGCAGAGGCCTGGCGCGCGCGCGGGATATAAACACACTCCACACACACTCACCCGTGATGCAGGCGTTCACCGCCGTGGGCTTCTGCGCGGTCACCACGTAGTTGTAGGACATGGCGTTCAGTAAACACACACGAACAGCCAGAAACGATGAGAAACGCGGTTTACAGCGAGATTTGTTTGCATGAATCCGCTGAAGAGACTCTTATCCGCCGCAGCAGCACAGCGTCAGTGACCCAGCGGAGCGCCGCCCGCGGCCTGGAGGACACACTGCAGCGCGCTGTCACTAGAGCATGAGGAAGGTAAACATTAGCGATGGCCCTAATGCATTTCCTGTGCTACATGTTTAATTTCTAGAGCTTACTAAAATCCAAAAAGCTCCACATATGAATAAATAATGCGATGATAGCTGTTTTAACGAGAAGATATGACTGAAATGCCTCTTGTTAGAGTTCTGAAACAGATAAGCAGGAAGCTGCTGCTGAACTGTGGAGACGATAAACAGGAGGAAACTACAGGAGACACACCGCAAACACCCCCGAGCAGCCCTTACCGAGCAGCCCTTACCGAGCAGCGCATTCAGCGAAGAGGAGAAAACTGTCCCGCATCAGGGCGACGGGGTATCTGCAGACTGATGCTCTTTATTTAAAAAAAAACACACACACACACACACACACACACACACACACACACACACACACACACACAGCCAATAAATCCAAAAGAGTCTTTATTTCTGTGTTTGCTCATGAACATGTCTCCTCCATCATATGAACAGAAATAATCATCGGCAGAATACAGAAGAGCACAGCTGAACTCCACACAGGAGGAGTGTGTCTACAGCACGCACACACACATACACCTGCAGACAGGTGACACTTTCTCACTCACACACACACACACACACACACACACAGGGCTGATTTCGTCCCTTTTATGATAACACGTTTAAACACACCACTGATCTAAACTGTGCAAATGTGCTTCTGATTTACACACAATGTACAAAGATCACACACACACACTCTCTCTCTCTCTCTCTCTCTCTCTCTCTCTCTCTCTCTCTCTCTCTCTCAGACTGAGCTCTTAAGCGTTCAGCATAATAAACACACAGATGATGCAATAAAGTGAACAAACAAACATCTCTACACTAATAATGGCAGATCCATAAGCAGCGACTCATCCGTCCAGACCGACCACAGAGAGGTTCAACATATATACACACACACACACACACACACACACACACACACACACACACGTGTGAAGGCACTTCAGAAGCGGATGGGGAGCTGCCTCCATCACTGTTTTCTCACACACTCTCGTCTCTCTTTAATGCTCCGTGGTGCGCACACACACACACACACACCTCTCTGCAGAACTGTTCCAGCATTAGGGTTTCAGGATTGTCAGCTGCTGAACTGAACAGCCGATCAGAGATGAGGAGGAGGAGCAGCAGATGAGGGCAGATCCACACCTGCAGGAGCAGCGCAGCGTCCCTCAGCCGGTGCAGGTACAGGTGATTGTCTGCAGGTACTGATGGTCTCTCCGCTTCACTTGCTCTGGAAGTTGCTGAGCTCCAGGTCCTCCTTGCGGCGCCGCTGCTGGGCGAACAGTGAGCTGAACGGGTAGAGCTTGGCTTTGGCGGGGAAGCGCTGCCCGGCGATCTCCACCTCGTAGTCTCCGCGGTTGATGAACTCGGGCGTGATCACCGCGGGCGCGCCGTCCTCCAGCCGCCGGATGAAGCCCAGACACACGTGCCGCTGCAGGGTGTAGCTGTAGGCGCTGCTGCTGGTGGTGCCCGCTAGCTGCCCGCTGCGATATATGGGCTCACCCCACCACGGCCACAGGTCCAACTCCGCATCATGATCCTCCAGAACCAGCATGAGGAAGCGCCGCGTCACCCCTAACTCACGCTGCTGCAGCAGAGCGGCCCGGCCCAGGAAATCTGTGTCCTGCAGGAGCCAGAGTCCAACACACACACACACACACACACACACACACACACACACACACACACACACAGAGTTGTAGGTGAGCAGACTTTTTAGAGGGTTAGGGTCAGGGTCAGGGTTAAGGTCAGGATCAGGGTCTGCAGTGGTAAGGGCATGAGATCAGCCGTTCCTCCTGCAGTCGCAGCGCTCTCTTGTGTTGCATTGTGGGTAACTGCTACAGAGGGATGTCCGTCTGAAACACTGACCTTGTCAAACTTGACCCTGAACTCGCGTCCGCACTCCAGCGGTGTGGTGAACGAGTCCAGATCCTGACCCCAGAACGCAAAGAACTTCTCGATGCGCAGACTCCGCAGAGCGTAGTAGCCGGCGTTGCGGATGCCGTACTTCTGGCCCACCGACATCACCTCATTATACACGTGCAGTGCATACTGGGAAAGCAGAATCACCGAGTCACAACCGCTCTGAGTGTGTGTGTGTGTGTGTGTGTGTGTGCAGATGATGATGATCTAGATCAGCAGGTGATGCTGCAGGTGTGAGTGTGTGACTGACCTCAATGGGAATATACAGCATGAACCCCGGCTCTCCTGTGTGTGTCATGCTCATCACTCTGATGCCGTTAGCGTAGCCCACGCTCATTTCCTGCAAAACACACACACACACACTCAGGTGACGTCACACGACCACACAGGAGACATCACATGACCACACAGGAGACGTCACATGACCACACAGCACACAGGCGTCTCACCTTACAGAAGAGCGAAGGGAAGTGCTCTGGAGTCATGGACACATACGAGAGTTCGGACAGCACATCCATGGCTCGAGGACCAATCAGATTCAGCGCTGAAGGAAACATGATAAAGGTTACAGCATCAGGTGCACACACACACACACACACACACACACACACTCCTGACGGACACCTGCTGACCTGTGTACTTCCAGCTGACGTCCTCCAGGTGGAGCTGCGGGTCGCTCGGCATGTGCTGCTTCATCCAGGACCAGCAGTGCACTTGCTGATCAGTGGGAGAGATGATGAAGAAGCTGGAGGAGGAGCAGAGGAGGAGTGAACACCTCGCACACACACACACACACACACACTCACCCTCCAGCTGACTGACAGTGAGGGAGAGCAATATACTGACACTGAGGACACACTGAACCTGTTCTTGCTGAGGCGCACCACGCTGCAGTCGTTCTCGTAGCCTCCTCTGGCGTTCAGCATGCCCGTGTGCACGATGTGCCCGACCGGAACATCCAGATCATTAGCACAGAGACGCTGCAGCAGATGCAGAGCCTGATCCCCTGAGGACTGACACACACACACACACACACACACACTCAGATGAAGGCTGTGCTCCTCAGACGGGTCACTCAGGCCATGATGAGGTGTGTCGGACTCACTGTGAGCTCAAACTTGGTGAAGGAGGACATGTCGATCACACACACCGCCTCCTTACAGCACTTCACCTCCGCGCCCACGATATCAAACCAGTCCGGCTTGTAGAAGGTCTTACTCTGATCCAGCGCCAGCAGGTCTGCGGACAGAACAGCGTTACTCAGGGCTCAGGCGATGCTAATCTACACTCCGCTAATCCCCTCTCCACCGGTGCGTCGGAGGCTCCTCACCCTTCCCTGCGGGGACGAAGTATTTAGCGCGCTCGAAGCCGTGTTTCTCCATCCAGCGGGCGCCCTGCGTGTCCAGCCGGTCATACAGGGGACTGGTGCGCAGCTGCCGGCCCGTCTGGAAGTCCCAGCGCGGAACCTTCAGCTCATACAGCAGCGCTGACAACACAACACACACACACACACACACACACTTATTCATTACACACTTCTGAGAACACACACAGCGCAGAGTCAGAGCAGCTGATATTCCTGCCATGATAGACCGGGGCGGTGCCACCTTCATGATGCAGAGAACAAGAGCTGTGATTGGTTGCCTGTGTGGTGATGAGTGGGTGTTGCTGAGAGAGCAGTGAGGGTGGAGCTGAGTTGTGTGGGTGTGGCTGAGGGCAGAGGGGGTGGGGTTGAGAGTTGTGGGGCGGAGCGAGGCCGGTGGTGAGAGATGAGTATCCACCGGTTCAGTGCCTCACTCTGCCCTGGATGAGCCTGAGTGTGTGTGTGTGTGTGTGTGTGTGTGCTGCTGCTGCTGCTACAGTCGTTTACAGTTCAGGTGTTAACTCAAAACACCTGTGTAGGAACTCGCCTCAGTAGAGCACAGAAACTGCTCTGCCGACTAGTGTTAGAGTCGGGTCACTGCAGCACAGACAGAACACTGAAGCTGTTGATGAAGAGGTGGTCGGGTCTGAGTACAGCACCGGTTCAGCTCCGGCAGTCTCAGTCTGATCTTTTAAATTTGAATCCAGATATTTGTCTGATGCTGCAGAAACACACTTCACCAGCTCTGCACCCTCTATCACACACACACACACACACACACACACAGATTCTGCATGGTCCTCGTTACTCACGCATCACCTCCATCACCCGGTGCCGCAGGAAGGTGCGGCTGCTCTGCAGGTTCCCGAAGCGCTTGATGTCTAGAGGCCAGACGTTGGCGCTGGGGTACCCGTGTGTCATCCACTCCGCCAGAAACCTGCGGCACACGAACACCATAAACATCTTCATCATCATCATCAACACATGACCGCAGACCCACAGGCTGCTTACTTCCCCGCTCCGCCGGCGAACGACAGGCCGGACGAGTTCATGCCTGCCAGCACGAAGTACCCGCCGGCACCCGGAGTCTCACCCATCAGGCAGCGCATGTCCGGCGTGAAGGACTCGGGGCAGTTGACCAGCTGCTGCACCTCACAGGCCTCCAGAGCCGGCATCCGGCGCAGCAGAGCACTCAGCATCGGCTCTACACACACACACACAATGCAGAGAACTCAGCACACACACCGCAGACGAGAGCTCCACTCACACACACACACACACACACACCTGAGAGCCGCTGGAGGAGTGGGCACAGATTTACACTCCAACTCTAATATGCAGCAGCAAAAACAGCACGATCTCCAACATTCCCTGAACATGCTCTCGAGTGTTCATCAGGAGAAGGAGTGTGTGTGTGTCCACTGACCGAAGTGATCCCAGTCCTCCTGCATGTTCTGCACCTCCAGCTGGTTGCGTCCCTCAGTGAAGATGGGTTTGGGGTTCTTCTCGAAACCTCCAGACAGGATTCCCCCATGCCAAGAGCGCGCATAGATCCGTCCGTCCATGTCGATCACCACTGCGAGACAGAGACAGAAACCGTCATAAACAGAGAGAGAATAGATCAGTAACAAGGTGTAGTTAGGGTTCTCCTGTAGTTTCAGTGTTTTCAGGTGTAGTTTCAGTGTTTTCAGGTGTAGTTTCTGTGTTTTCAGGTGTAGTTTCAGCGTTTTCAGGTGTAGTTTCAGTGTTTTCAGTTTCTGTGTTTTCAGGTGTAGCTCTGTCTGCAGATGTAGTTGAGGTCTCACCTGGACTGTCGGACGGTAGCGGCTCAGAAAGAGGTTTGGTCAGCAGGTAGAAGTGCTCACATCCATGCAGAGGAACAGACACCTTCACCTCACTGCTCTGACCCAGCTCATACGCCCACTGAAACACACACACACACACACATACACACAGACACACACACACACAGAATTCTGTTTGACAGGCCAGATCTGCAGTGCATTGTGGGTAGTCCTGTGTTGTCCAGACTCACCTGTCCAGCACAGTTGACAAAGTATTCACACTCCACTGACCCGCGATCAGTCTCCACTGCGGCCACGTGACCATTCTTCATCAGCACGTGTGTGACGCTGGTGTGTTCAAAGATCTGCACACCTGACAGGTGAAACACACGCACACACATCAGCTAATGACACAGAAACACCTGACAGGTGACACACACACACACACATCTCTGCGTACCGTTAGCTGCTGCCGCCACCGCCATCGCATGATTGACATCGGGTGGAGAAACCACAGCGTCCCCCGGCAGGTGCAGAGCGCCCACCAGATCATGAATATTAACCAGTGGGTGGAGCTTTGACACCTCTTTAGGCTTGATGATGCTGCAGGCCACGCCCAGAGCCCTGTGGACACACAGGTGATTCAGTGACACAGCACAAGGCCTACATCTGCTGATGCTCTACAGACACTCAATGCCAAGAGAACAGACGACTGTGTGGACAAATACAGCATTAAAGAGTGTAGGCGGAGCCACATCCGGCCCTTCTGCACACACACACACACACACACACACACACACACACTCCTCCAGATTTCTGTGTTTGTCTTCATGTAGAGAAGCGGCTTACTTCAGTCTGGACGCCAGACGCTTCAGAGACAGAAACCGGTCCTGATTCTGCGCCAGACACAGAGATCCGGTGCGGACGAATCCTGCAGGAAACACACACACAGATGAGCCAGTGAGTGTATAATGAGAGATGTGTGTGTGTGAGTGTGTGTTGCGCACCGGTGCTGACGCCGGTCTCCTGCTGCAGCCGCTCGTACAGTGCACTGGAGTAATCCGCCATCTGACTCTCGATGGACAGCGGTTTGGCCACGCTCACGATGCCCGCGCAGAAGCGGGTGGTGCCGGCTCCGAGCCTACAGTGCACACACACACACACACGCATGAGGAACTCCGCCCTCGAGCAGCAGTGTATCCCACAGTGCACCTGTGCAGCGCTCACCTGCCCTGCTCCAGCAGCAGGATCTCTGTCCAGCCCAGTTTGGCCAGGTGATACGCCACCGACGTGCCCACCACTCCGCCTCCGCAGATCAGCACGCGGGCACGGGCGGGCAGAGTGGGCGGAGCCTCTGAGCTGAAGAACCGCACCCCTCTCTGTGCCTGCCCACCAGAGGCCCCGCCCCCCACACACAGCCAGCGGCGCAGGAGAACAGGAGCCCGCGGGCACACACACCACGCACCGCCGCGCATCACTGCGCACCTGATGAACACACACACAGTTATACAACACACACTCACACAGAGTTAGACAACACACACACAAATAAAATTCAGACATTCTTACACAGAGAGAAAAACAAAACATACATACACACCATCTCTCTCCCTCACACACACACACACACTTCTGCCATCTATATATTACATTACAGCAAACGGTATTCCACTGAACAGCAGCTCTTCCGTCTAAATTGGTGCTTGCACACATTTACAGGTGTGTGTGATCTGAAGGGCAGCTGAATGTTACACACACACACACATTATTCGCTATCTCCCCACAAGACAGGCTGAATTGATCAGTAATGTCAGTAATATGGGGGGGTCTGGGGTGCTCGTGAGGCTGTGGGCTGTGTGTGTATGTGTGTGTCAGTGTTGGCTGTGAACACACTCGCTGTGGCAGACACACTCCTCCGCCGTGTTTATGTGTGTGTGTGTGTGTGTGTTGTGTTATTGACTGACATTAGCCGTTAGCTCGAGGCCTGTGAGGCGACTCCTGCAGTACCGCAGCTCAGCTCGTGTGTGTGTGTGTGTGTGTGTGTGTCCTCTGTAAACGGCTCCACAGCGCCGGGGTTGAGGGTAACACACGCGGTTATGGTGAAGTGGACTCTGCGGAACCACTAACTGAAGATTTAGAGCCAAACTCTCCACATCCTCCGAGCAAACACACGACACACACTCTCAAACATCGCTAATGGTGTTAGCATTGATACTGACAGCAGCACAGACACATGCTCATACTCACCGGCTGAAGCGATCGCCTCTGATCAGAATTATTGATCAGAAATGCGCGATCACAGGCGACGGTAAGTTAACTTTAGCCCCGCAGCAGCTCGGCTGTCTGACCTCGTCACTGCGCATGCGCGGAAACACCTCTCCGTTTGACAGGCGCGAGCTCTGCACTGTAAACACTGCTGTAAAGCGGCCAGAATCTGCTGTAACACCGCGTTTTTCACTAAAACACTAATGTTCTGTTAAACTGTGCATTCTGGCCAACAGTTTTGTTTTCGAGAACTTAAGCAATGGCAGTAAACTGAGTTAACAGAGTCCACAGTTCAAGTCTGTGTTTGAAATCACACTCTGCGCCCTCGTTCACTATTCCATACACTAGTTCACTAATATAGTTCAGCTGACAGAGTTAATGAACACTAATGAGTGAAGTCAGACACTGATGAACACCTGCTGTAATAATCACAATCACTGAGGGAAAGAGAAGCAACAGAGACGTGTCAGGTACAGCATTAAACAAGATCAAGTAAAATAACACAGCTTCAGATCAGCAGAGAGTGTGTGTGTGTGTGTGTGTGTGTGTGTGTGTGTGTGTGTGTGTGTGTGTGTGTGTGTGTGTGTGTGTGTGTGTGTGTGTGTGTGTGCGCGTGTGCGTGTGCGTGTGTGTGTGTGTGTGTGTGTGTGTGTGTGTGTGTGTGCGCGCGCGTGTGTGTGTCACCGTAATGCAGTGAGGTGCTGGTTTAGTTGGGCTCTTCAGTCTTGAACTCATTAGTACACACTCTCCAGCTGCTGTAATGCAAATGCAGTTTACTAAATATTTTCATTACAGCTTTAAAACTGGAGGGTCAATAGATTGATTTGCTAGTTTTGCTCTGTATAATGTCATGATTAAGGTCTGATTGATGTCCTCAGCAATAGTTAAAATACTTCATTCCAGATATTACTATATTAATTAATAGTAATCAGGAAAGAGTTAATTCCCTTTACAGAGTCAAGAAATAACAAACAAACCAGTTTATTTATGACAGCTTCACACTCAGACCTCATGAATCAGAGCTTGTACCTCAACTCTGCAACTAAATGAAGTAAAGCAGTAGTGCTCTTATTAGGTCCTGCTGCCACCAACCATTCAATTAAAGCTCAGCTAGGATTCCTAAGTAGTAATCTGCACAGTCACGCCAAGAATCTCAGGGTAATTTTTGATCCACTTTTGCAGTTTGACCATCATGTGAATGCAGTTGTAAAGAGCAGCTTTTTCCAACTTTGATTAGTGGCAAAAGTAAACCATTTCTTTCTTTAAAAGAAAAAAAACAGATTTAGAAACTGGATTCAATGCACATACAGGCATGTTATATTACATTAACCATAGATTAAACATTGGATAGCAGCAGTGAATTATATTAGAACAGGTTCATTAAAACAGTTCATTATAACAGCAGGAACATCAGCAGTGTTTTGGTTTGCTTGCTGTATCATAAGAGCTTTACATCACTACAGCAGCCTGGCGAAGAGCCCAACTAAAGCGAACTTAAGCAGATGTTTTACAAAAGAAAATGTTTCAGTGAAGTGTAGCTGCTGATGCTGTTTGTGGAGTTGTTCACCTGCTGATAATCTTAATGGTTTAATCGTGTGTTGTTCTTTAGGTTATTTGATTATAAAGCTGTGGCTGAAGCTGTAGTTTTTTGTATGCTCTGTTCTTGTTTTTCCCTCCAGTATTTCTTCATTTGTTCATCGCTAATCCGGTGCGCTCTCTGTAATCATCATCTGATGTTTATTATCTTACACCAAGCTTTTATATTAATAAGCGCATAACAGACATCACACACGTGTCTTGTAGATCTGCGTCAGCCTGAAAACATGAGCACATCCGGAAGATTGTTTAATTATTGATGTCAACACGCAGATTCAGGATGTTTAAGATAAACAGCAGCAGTCAGAGGAGTTTATAACAGAAGTAAACACCAATGGACAGCGCCCGTACTGTGTTTATACCATTATCTCCTGCAGTTCAGCATAGGTAATCCTCCCTCGCATATTCATTTACCCTCGGATATCCTCAGCTCTTGGTTTCTGACACCACTGGAAGCACATGCTGAGGTTTATCAGTTAACCAATGCACAAAAGCTCAGACTATGAGCATCACCTCTCTTTATTGGTTAATATTTATTCATTTTAGGAGAAAACCCTTGCTTTACACTAATAGCTGCAACTGTTGATTAATATTCAAGAGCACAAACAAGAGACAATAGACAAGACAAGAGCCTGTAGTTAAAGGAGACCTGTTCTGCACTTATACAAGCTGTAAGTGTGTGTGTGCGTGTGTGTGTGTGTGTGTGTGCGTGTGTGTGTGTGTGTGTGTGTGTGTGTGTGTGTGTGTGTGTGTGTGTGTGTTTTAGCACACAGATAATGTTCTCTCTGAAACTGACCCTTTGATCCTAATTTTGGTATTTTGTTGACTGTCGCTTTAAATGCAAATGTGATTGAGTTCTTTCTGAAGAGGGCGGAGCTTCAGATGCATATGCATGAGCATAGTGACAGCTGTAAATCAGCAGTGTGTGTGTTGTGAGTGCTGGTCAGGTGTGTGTGTGCTTCAGTGTGTGTGTGTGTGTGTTGATGCTTGTGTCAGTCTATGTCTCTCCTGTCTCTGTTCATCTAGAACTCCACATCTATAATCCTCTTAGTCTATGCTGACATCATCTTCAGCAGCTCAAACACTCTGATGGCTAATGGACAGACGGCTGCTTCTCACTCAGGGCTGCTGGACATGCTAATGAGATGAAGAATAATGGGCGGGGCTTTCCCCCTCTGATGACAGGTACAGCAGGAGAATGTCCATCACAGTGTTTCTGCATCAAGTCTGATTATAATGAACACAGTTCACTCATGATGAGCATCAGAGGCTGCTGGAGATACACACACACACACACTGCTGACACACACACTACTGTGTTTAACCCCGTATAGAAGTGATTTCTGTATAACAGGCCTGTAAATGTAAATGGCATCATTATGAGTTCATTAATCAACACATTTGTGGATTTTTGTCTGTTGTTGCCGATCGGCTCTGGACATGTGAATAAGACAGAGACATGCGCACACTAGACAGGTATTATCTCACGGCTAAACTCTCGTTAACTCACAGCAGAGGAGTAAACTTCTGTTCTACTCCAGCATCGAATGCGTTTGTCTTGAAGCGGACTACAGACTCACTCCTGTGTGTCAGAATATACGCAGGCCGGTGTGTGCTGACCCGCCGGAGTGTCAGTGGTTCTCCAGCTGAACTCTAGAACTCATACTGGGAGACAAAGATCTTGAGTTTGGTGACGTATCGGCCCAGCAGCTCTCTGCGCTCCAGCTCGCTCATCTCCAGCTCCAGCTCCAGGGTTTGGGGTCCCTGCACCGGCCCGGTCAGCAGCAGCTCCCCCGTCTGGCGGTCCAAACGCTGCATGCTGAAGTGCCGGCGGCTGCGGCCTCCTGATACAGCGAAGCGCAGCGAGTCTCCGATCATCCTGCTGGCCGACATGCGGAACACGACCCGCGGCGCCGACAGGTTGGACACCAAAGACAGGTAGTGGAAGGAGACAGAGTTAGGGGCCTGAGAACAGCTCCTGCTGCCTGCGGGGCAGGGGTTCCTCTCACAGCGCCTGCACACAACACACACCCGAGCTCGTCTGACAGAAAGACACGTGTGTGTGTGTGTGTGTGTGTGTGTGTGTGTGTGTGTGTGTGTGTGTGTGTGTGTGCTGCTTACACTGCAGATGTTTTGGCGTAGGTGGCGTCCCGTGTGTTTGGACACTCCACTTTGACGCACTGAAACCCTCCATAGGTGTTGACGCAGATCTGCTCGCGTGTGCAGTCGTTCTGCCGGCTGCTGCACTCATCGATGTCTGAAATACACACACACACACACACACAACACGATCCGAATGAGCCAGTGTTCCCCCGCAGTGTGTTCTGTTCCCCTGAGTGTGTGTGTGTGTGTGTGTTCTGTTCCCCTGACCGTGTGTGTGTGTGTTCTGTTCCTCTGAGTGTGTGTGTGTTCTGCTGTTAGTAACTGACCTTTGCAGTTGCGTCCGTCGCGGGTCAGGTTGTACCCGGCGGGGCAGGAGCACCGGTACCCTCCAGCAGTGTTCACACACGTGTGCAGACATAAGCGCCCCGCCGGCCCGTTGTGGAAGAGTTTACACTCGTCGATGTCTGTGAGGAAACATGAGCAGAAACACACACATCACGGTTCTGTCACAGCGTCTGGAGAATATAACCTGCAGACAGAGACCCGACACCGTCAGACAGCTCTGCAGGACAGCACCAGAAGAGCTTCTTCAGCCTGCAACCAGACGGAACCACTTCAAGCTCTTAAACCAGTAAAGCTGGAGCTGCAGCAGTGGTGCCTCACCCCCACCACAGGTTCCCGACAGCGCTGACACTGTGACATGAGCTGAAGAGCCGGCTGTGTGTGTGAGGCGCCGAGCTCCTGGAGCGCTCCTGCCGTCTGCCGCTGGTGTGTGTGTGTGTGTGTGTGTGTTTGTGTTTGCGCAGTCAGAGATCCTCATACCTGTGCAGACGCTGCTGTCACGGCCGGAGACGCTGAATCCCGGCTCACAGCTGCAGACAGTGGTTCCTTGCACCGCGCTGCATCGGGCGGGACGGGTGAAGGCGGGCGCAGCGGTGACCGCAGGCGAGTTCATTACAGTGACCAGAACTGCAGAGAGAAGCGCATCATCAGTACAGCGCCGTGTGCGTGTGCGCGTGTTTGTGTGTGCGTGTGTGTGTGTGCGTGTGTGTGCGTGCGTGCGTGCGTGTGCGTGTGTGTGCGTGCGTGCGTGTGTGTGCGTGCGCGTGTGTGCGTGCGTGCGCTTGTGTGTGTGTGTGTGTGTGTGTGTGTGCGTGCGCGTGCGTGCGTGCGTGCGCTTGTGTGTGTGTGTGTGTGTGCGTGTGTGCGTGCGTGTGTGT